CATAATACTCTCTCTTCATGAAAACATCTTTTAACAGAAGAAGTGGGATGGCCACGGTCATGGTGGTGGTGGTGGTAGCTTTGGAGGTGGTGATGATAGAGAATAAACTTCTGAGGAGATGTACCAGAATCTGCAGAGTGCTTTGATAAAGCCCCAACCCCACCCCAATCCATTCCTCTTCCTCTTCCTTTGAGACTTGCTGCACTAAATAAATATCTAAGCCCTTTTACAGCTGAACAATTGTATAATACTTTGTGTTTTTTGGCTTTTTCATTCTCCTCTATATATTTATAGTGGTTTCTTCTCTTTTCAGCATTGTTGCCTTGGGTAATTATGAAAAATAAAAAACCTCCCAGCAAATAAAACCCTAACTCTCTTGAGGTTTTGTTTGTTTGTTTGCTTAAAAAAAAAAAAAAAAAAAAAGACAAACTTCTTCCCAGGATTGTGATGAAAATTGAGTGGGGTGATGTACATAGCAGCGTCTGGCATGGTGCCTGGCACAGCATAGCTATTCCAGGTACATTGGCTTCCCTTCCTTCTCCCTGCGCTATTTCAGTTATGATTTACTTTTCAGTCATGGGTGCCTGCTGAGACTATAAAGGGTGTCACTGATGTTATCTTCCAAATGAATCTGCTCTAAATCATTTTCAATTATCCTTAATGGAACAAAATTAAGAATTGATTTTTGAGAGAAGTTGTAAATTATGATGTAGATTCATGGGGGCCCCGCAGGTCACCAGGCTATGCAGCATCCCTGGGCAGGGCACAAGAGAGGAGCACATAGGTCAAATTGGGGTCACACCTGAGGAGTCAGGGTGGGGGGATCCTCCACGGGGAAGGGTCTCTGGAAAAACAAGGTCTGTCCTTGAAGCATCCCCGAGGAAAGTGATTCTTCCCGGTGTCCCAGGAGAGGTGAGCACCCGTCCCCGTGTACCCTCTACATCTGAGACTTTTGTCACCTTCTGCTTCACAGTATAACTAAGAGCGTATTTGTCTTATTCCCTTGTAAACTTGGGGCCAGAAATGCTTCCTATGGCAATGTTTATGTATTTTAATATTCTTGGAAGTCTGTGCAAACAAAATAATGTTGCTTATATGTTAATCACCGTGAGAAAATCTACATTGGGCACCACTGGGTGCAGGGCATTGTGGTAGGCAGCAGACCACTGTGCTAAGGGTGACGTGCTCATTGCATTTTGAGGTTGGTATGTCCTGTTGGCCACATTAGCATTGCAGGACATCCCCAGGATGCCCCGTCACTGGGCAAAATACCCAGTGCTGTTTCCTGTCCTCTCCCTCCAAGATATAAACAGTTCTGGTCACTCCCTAGAGCCCAAAACAGAACCCAAAGTCTTATGCTGCCTGGGGTGACCAGAATCAGTGGGGCTGCTTGTAGAGAAATCCTGCTTCCCTGGTGGATCCTGGCCTACTATCTCTTCTCTTCCCCACACCTCCAACACCCCCATGCCCCATGAGGCAGCAGTAACGCGACTCCACTGTCATTTATCAAAGTGAAGTGCCTTTGCAGTAATTACAATATGTAATTCTTTTGGGAATGTTCAACGTATTCTCACACCCATGACCTTAGAGATTTTCTGGTCCAGCCCTTCCTTTTACATAATAATCTTTGACCCAGAGCAGAGACCCACCCAAAGTCAAAGTCATCCAGTCCACAGTTCATCATCTGAGTCTCCCATGTACTGTATGTGGTAGGCCAGATGGGCACATATAGGGGCATCATTTCACAGATGGGAAAGCTGAGACTTGGTGAGCTTGTGAGTTTTGCTTGGGATAGAGTTTTTGCTTTGAGGCTGGTACTCCTTCCTCTTCTCCCAACACACACACACACACACACACACACACACACACACACCCTCTCTTTGGAAGCTCCTTGCCATGCAGGGCAGATGGTGGCATGTGCCAGAAACCTAGGAGGTAGCTGGAGGGGCTGGGGGCTAGGAGGATAAGGATCACTTGACATGTGTCCTCTTCAGTGCTGTGATGAAGGAACAAGCACTGGACAGGCCTCCAGAAGGGCGTGTCATGTCTCTGTGTGGTTCAATTGCCTGAGCCCTTCATGTTGGGAGGGAGACTTCAAAGAACTGTGACCTTTGGGGTGGCCAGAAGGGCAAGGCCTTTACTGGGTGGTTGTAATTTCCTGCTTTTTTTGGAGAAAGGCTCCGGTGCCCTCTTGTTCCTGCCCTCCCCCCTCCTACTGAGACCTTAACCGCCAAACCCCTCCCCCTCCTGTTGACTGGGCTCAGGGCAAGGAAGTGTGTCTGTATCCCGCCCCCTGACACAGAACACAGTGTCCTGTATTATTTCCAGCCTGCTGGTCCTGGGAATCTCGACTTACTTTTTCTTATTTCCTCCCCTTGAACATTAGAAACATTAGATTCCAAAAATAATCTAAGTCACAATGTTCTACAGGCTGCATGTGTGTGTTTTCTCCCAAAGCTGTTTTTCTCTCTCTTACATCCTTTCTCCCTCTCCTTTCTTCCCTCTCCTGCATTTTCAGCCCCATTTGTATCCTGAGATTAGCAGGCCTGCAGGAGGAGTGTGGGTGTGGAGAACAGAATGGAGGAAGGATGGGGAAGAATGCTCAGGCATGAGACTTGGCTCCCTTCCACGGTTCTCTCAAGAGGGTGGAAGGTGCCAAGACCTGAACTGCTGTGTGTGAAGAATCTGCCTATGCAGCCCCTGCTTATGAGTGGACCCCATAGAACTGTGGACCCCATAGGGACTCTTTGGAACTGAGAACTAAGACACTGTTTTAACAGTGCTTTCCAGAATCTAGGTTGTCACACTGACTGTCTGTAGCAATTGAGGTGAGCTGTGAAAAGAGGGTCTGATCAGAGATGAAATGTGTGTGTGTGGGGGGCGGGGGGGCCAGGGCAGTAACTGAGAAAGGTTCATTGACTCATTCATTAACAGACATTGAGTGTCTACTGTGTGCCCCGCCTTCTGCTGGTACCATGTCTCTCTACTCTTACCCTAGGCCTTGGATGGAGGACAGTCTAGGGCAGTGCAGGGAAAATCAGAGTTAGCACTAATGTAATTCTTGATACCTTGAAAGGAAAAGATGGTTTAGAGATAGTTTCACTCCAGTGGCTAGAACCTGGGTGAGTTAAGATATCAAGGTCTCTGTTGTTTTCTGGGTGGGGGGTCGGGCTGGTTGGGGTGGGGGTGGGTATCTAGTATACAGGGGAGAGAAGGAATGGAGGTGGCCCAAGCAAAAAGAAAACATGTCAGCTTTGCCCCAGTAGGAGAAGTAGGGGAAAGGTCTTGGTACCCTATTTGAAGAATGAAGGACATTCAGGTGCAATTTATAAAGTAAAACTAATGTAGTCTCTGTTTAGGGTGGGAAGATTTTCCAAGGTTTCTTTCCAGGCATTTTACTTTGAAGAACCTGTTTTCCTTCTTTTTCTCTACCTTCTACCCTACTCCTCTCTTCCCCTTCTACTCTCTTTCTCACTTGTGACCCTCCTGGTCCCTGCCCTGGCATCTCCTCAGGCCTGTCCTTATTTTCTGTGCACCTGTTCTCTCTGAACTTGTTGCATGGCCTTCCTTTTCCATTCCTACTTCCTTCCTTGGTCAGCGTTAAGGAAGAGCCCCATGCGCAGTTCAGGCCTCTTATCAGGGGCAGAGAGAGCACTAGCTTTGGAATTAGAGAGACCTGAGTTTGAATCCCTGTTGGGCCACTTGTAGCTGAGTGACTATGTTCAGTTCACCCCCTCTGAACACTGATTTCTTTATCTCTAAAATATAGATTTTAATACATGCCTTAGGATTATTGCATGGGTTAAAGAAATTGTACATAAATCTTCCAGTGTGGCTAGAGCCTAGAAGGCACTCAGCACATGGTAAAAACGGCAGATTTGTGGAGACAGACTTTTGCTAGCCCATGTAAATGAGTGGAATCAGCAGTGAATAGGTGCCCAGGCAGGCTCTCTTGTGGGGCATGGGTGGGGAATACAGCAAAGATGCCAGAGTGGACAGTGGGCAGCCTGTGGCAGCAGAGCATGGAGGTGAGGTAGAACCTGGTAGCTGGAGAAACCAAGAAGGGATCTTGAGGAGGAACTCATCAGTGGATATTAGACACAAGGTTGGCTGCTAGCAGAGATAAAAGGAAATGGAAGCTGTAACCAGGCTGGCAGGATCTTAGAGAACACTGTTGCTGAAGATAAGCCAATCACTGTGCCAAGCATTGTGCCAGGGATAGGTAGTTGGAAGATGAGCTGCATTCAGACCTTGCCACATTGCAGCAGAGGGCACCAGCAAACAAATAGCCACTGCAAAGGTAAGTTCATAATGTTCATAATCTACGGGAGTGTAGATGAAGAAACGTTCAGCCAGGATTTGGGATGCAGGGAGATGGAAGAGTGTGTGCAGAGGCACAGCAGCCTCAAAATATAGGCTGGATTCTGGGAATGTCTGCAGTCAGGTGTGGCTGGAGCATAGGCTCTATGGGGAGGAGTTCATGCCATGTGGGTTACCAGGAGTTAGAGCACAACAGAGAATCAGAAGTCTGTGGAATAACCAGTGGACCACAAGGAAAACTGGATTCTAGTGAATGGTTAAGGTCTTGCCAGGAGCATCTGAGAATACTAGAGTCTTTGATTCAGGTCCAATCCTTACCCAGGGCAGAACTCCCTTCTGGCATCCCTGACTGATGTGCATTTTTCCAGATTCTTCTGAGCATTTCCAGGGCTGAGGAAGCCACAGCTTTATGAGGCAGCCTATTCCACTGTTCTTTAGCCCCAGTTGTTAGAAAGTCCCCCTTCCAGCAGGCCAGATTTTACCCTCCTGGAGTTATGCCCTGTTGTCCCAACTTTGCCTCCTGGGGTCCCTGGGGAAATTCTCTCTTCTCTCCTGTCTAGGACAGTTCTCCCGAAACTTGGAGACAGTGCTTGGAGGCCATGTTTTTTCCACCAGATAAAGTTCTGTGAGCTCTTTCAGCCTATTTTCATTTGACATGGACTCTAAACTCTTTAATGCAGCTTTCCTGGGACCAGTTTTTCAAATGTGTGAGGGGACACAGGAGGAGCCTGCAGCTCTTGGTCCCACTTGCACAGGTGAGAATGAGATTTTGTGTGTGTAGGTACACTAGTTTTTTGTAGCCCATGTTAACTGATCTGAAACCCCAAGAGTTTGCCCACCCAGAGAATGATGTTCTCTCACTCAAATAGAGAGAGATACCGTCTCATGTATAAATACAGGAGGATGTCTTCTCACATTTGAGCACAGAGAGATTTTCCAGTATGAAAGTGTTGAGTTAAAGTGTTGTGGTGCCAAGGTCAGTAGTAGTTACTATATTTCAGGGAAAAGCCCCAACTCAAGCGTATCTACTGTTCAACCCCATTCCTATATCCCATGGCTCTACCTGAGATCATTCCCAAGGAGAGCCAAAGCCGCATGGTCTCATCTTGGAAAGAGTTGGAAAACCTTTAGTAAAATACACAAAGGAATATTAATCCCTTGGAGGAAATCTGCCTGTAGCTGGAATCCCAGAAGGGTTCTTCCCCCAGTCCTCCATTCCATGGCCCCTTTGAAATCCCGTTCTCTTGGCTTGTTCACCTCCAGCCTCTCCTTAGTAAGCTTTCTCTAGCATAAGGATGTCCTGGTATAGGGACAACTGCTGATGTGGTAAGAGATACTCTGTAACATATGCTTTCTGATGGAGAGATAAAAGAGGGTTTGGTTTCCTCCGCCCTCTTTGCAGATTGGGTTGACAAACTTGTCCCAGATTTCCCTGGGGGAGATTACCTTGTCATGAGGTGGCAAGAGGGTGTACAAACACGAGGGCCCTAGAATGGAGAGTGAGACTGGACTTGAGCATTCAGCTCCCATCCCTCAGTGCATTTTCTTTTGTGCTTTGCACATTCCCACCTTCTCATGCCTTTGTTTATGCCAACACTTCTCCCATTTGGAATGTCTGCTCCACTGTATGTGCCTATTAAAGACCTCCCTCAGCTGAAGGTCCGCCTCAGATGCTACTCTCCCTCTTTTCTCCTGTTGGAGGTGTTCTTTCTCTCCTCTGAGCATTTCCTGCAGCCCTTGTCCATCCCCCTCAAGTTGTCCCAGTTCCCTGCTCCATCCCATCTAGCATTATAGCTAGATGCTCAAAGACCTCATTCCATTCAATACCACTTCAATGGTATTGAAAATTCCTGGAGGTCAGGACCAGTGTCTTCAATTACTCTGTGTTGACCAGAGGCACATAGTACCAAATAAATAAATAGTTGACCGTGACACAATCTGTACTCACTGTGCTGCTTGAGAATAGAACAAAACTTTTGTGAACACTGAGCTGGCACAAGAGCACCACCTACTGCTAAGTGGTTTCTAGGAACGCTATTTTAATGCACTCACTTGAAAACTGGGGTGTTAGCAAGTGTCACCTTGCAATGGAGAGAGTGATTTGGAGGCAGGAAGCCCATTCTGGTCCTTTTATACTAATGCAAGTGGGAACAGATGAGGTGGTAGTGAAAGTAGAAAGGGAAGGGGCAAACCCTTGAGACACTCTGAAGGAAAGAAAACAGGACCAGTGACTACTGGTTGGATGTCAGGGAGCAAAGGCAGCACTAAGGCCTTCATGTTAGGAGGATTGGCAGTGGGACACGAGTGGAAACAAATCCCAAGGACATTTTGGAATAAGGATGGATAATTAAAGGAAATTTAAATTTTCATTTCTTTTAAGGCACAGAAAAGTGAAAGAAGTGATTATGAAGATTGCTAAAAACATTATCATGTGTTAGCTGGTTGTTGTGTTTCTGCCCCACTTTTAGGGACAATGGGTGCTATCTAAACACAGGCATTCACTTTGGACCTCTGGCAGCCTTGAGGAGTGATGGGGCAGTTCATTAAGTTCTTCCTAAGCCCTGCAGAGTATACCCTGCAGGTTCTGGAATCTGGAAATACTGCCAAGCTTCTCTTTGTGAATGTGCCCAGCCTGGTTCCCTGCATTGCCCCTTCTTTACCTGCCTAAGCCCCATTGCAGAGGCTGCTGCTGGAAGAGAGGAGCAGGGGCAAAGTGGGGTACCTGGTTCTCCTCCTAAGCTCAAGGTCAGGCCCACGTAGCACGTACAGCATAGCTAGGTGGTGGTCTTATCCCCAAGAGAAGGGTTCCCACGGGGAGGCCTGCCTCCTTCTCTCAGAGAGGAGCTCCTAAAGGAAGAGCTGCCTCCTCCTTAGCCGCATGTGGGGCTTTGTTCCCAGATGTGCAAGTGATTGGCACAGCTGATTTTAGGATGTGTGGGAGGACTAGATGAGAACATCGAACAGACACTCCATTTTTGCAGTAACAATAATAGTTACCATTTATTGAGTGTATTCCGTGTGCCAGGAACAACTATTAGCTCATCTAAATTAACTTGCCAAGGGCCAGATCTCAGTTTATGCCTAAATTTAGCTCTGGGATAAAGTTGGGTATTATTTCCTCAGCTTGGATTAAATAGGATTTGACCTCTTCAAGTCTACATTTTGGGAAGTGAATGAAGTACATTCCCTTACTCTGTTCCTGAAAATATTTTATCAGCATTTGTGGTTCAGATGGAAGGAATTTGGCCACTCAGAGTCAATATCCTGGGGCCGTCTGGCTGACTCCTGGCTTGGTTGTTTCTGTTTCTCATCTGTTTGACTTGCTGGCTCCTGGATGACCATTCCTTCCCCAGAGAAGAGTAATGAGTGTGTTGCTAGTGCTGCAGGGAATAAAGTGCATCCAGGCACACAGGCTGGAAATAAAATGCAAAAACATCTTATTTAAAGCCTGAAAATATTTATATTAATGACTTGGTGAG